TATAATTATTTTTAAATAAATCAAATAAAATACAGATATACAATACCTTGCCTGCTGAGAATGACTCTCCCGTCTTGATTTGCATTTGTGAGTGCAGCTAGGAAACTTTCAATGTGCATTAGCGGAGATGACATTTTGGGGTGGTCATCCTCACCTTCCCCAGGAGAACTTTGCAGAGCACCTGCAGATCAAAAATCAACTTCTCATTTCAAAAGCCATCTTCTCACCTGCAGAACATAATCTCCCAGTTCTTTACTTCAACAACCAAACAAGTAACATGTTCAATTTATTTTCATTTGGGCTCTGTCTAAATGTATGTTAATACAAAAAAGACTGTAGAAGAGAGGCTGAATCAACGTTCTTGCCAAAAGGAGCTTTTACATTCTTGTTACAGATCAGTTTATCAAGAAAACAATGATATATGGCTCATATATGTCCTCAGCCTCCCAAAAACTGAATTATTGTAGCAAGAAAACTCAAACTATGATACTTCATTGATTTTCAAGAGACAGGTAGAAAAATGTCTTTTTCCTCTAATGGAGGAGAATATATTTGTCCTAAGACACAGCTCTACATGAAATCCAATGTGAACATGTGCTACTTCCACTGAAATGAAGGGAGAGAACACAAAAACAGAGAAGCTCCATATACCCAGCTGTTTCCAAACCTACTGAAATATCACTATCTTTATGTCTTGCCTCTTCCAGCTCATCTCCTTCCAAGTCTTAACACTGCTAAGAACTGCTTTATAGCCAAACCTACCTTCTTTTTCTGGTTTCCTTTTCAAGGTTTGCAAAAAGTTCTGCAAGCCAGCCAACTTTTGGTCTTCCTTCTTGGCTTTGAAAACCCCATATCTTTCCACAAATCCTAACAGCTGCAAAAAGAAGAGAGACCAGAAGTATTGTTTAAACATTGTCCACAAACTCTTCCCTGCTCCTTAATCCTTCCTGCAGAGGAAAGAGGAAAATAATCTGCCTTCCCAAGGAAGACCAGAACACCGCCCCCCCAGAACCCACAAAGAGCCTCTGCTCTTAGTCAGGTGGTCTCTAAAGGCCATGCTCCCTAAGTTTGATTAATTTAATGTATTTAACTTACCTTTAATTAGAATTACAATATAATTACTCTCCTATCATAGATTTAATAACATTTCCCTTTCCACTCAGTAAAAATTACAATATGGTAACATCGCCCAGAGTTGCATTGTGTGAGATGGGCAGCTACATAAGTGTGACATATAAATAAACAAACAAACAAACAAATTTTGAAGACTTCTGGGAGCCATATCTCAACCTTTCACAAGTCCCATGCATCCCTGAGGTTCAGGCTTGCATCTCTGCACAGACAATAGCTAACCAGATTAAGCCAACTGGTCTGATTCAATCTAAAGCAGCTTCCTATGTTCCTGTATCCCATGGAAAATGTCTGAAAACAGGCAAAAAAAGGCATCGCTTGTACACCTAGAAAACATCGAACCAGAGTTTTGTCCTGCTCTGCTGATGTACTACCTTCTTGCTGATGCAGCTTTTCTCACAGTAGCGCCGCACCTGTTGAAAGGAGAGGACATGCATGATAAAAGGTCCCTAGTTGTCCTATCTGCTTATCTCTAGTCTCAGCTTCCTCTTCCAGATTATCACAATTTATCAATCAGTCAATACTTTAGAGCAGTGTTTCTCAACCTTGCAAGTTGAAGAGGGGTGGACTTCAACTCCCAGAATTCCCCAGCCAGCCATGCTGGCTGGGG